TCCGGCTTTCCGTGCTACCTAAGTGTAAGGAAATACCGCAGATTGCCATGTGTTGCTTAGAATGGTTACTAGGTAAATTAAAATGTCTAGCGACTGGTTTCGATGTGTCCTTGTCATTCCTCTCCACGTCGCGAAGGTGTTCTCGGAATCGGTCACCTAGTCTTCTGCCTGTTTTGCCGATGTAAATCTTTTTGCAATAAGTGCAAGTTATGCAATAGATTACATTGGCAGAGGTGCACGTGAAGTGATCGGTGATCTCAATGGATCGTTTGGGTCCCGATATTTTCTCAGTGTTGTGAATGAAAGGACACGTTTTGCATCGTGCACGAGCGCATTTAAAAGTGCCTGGTTGGTCACTAGTCTGAAAAGAACTTCTGACCTAAAAATTGCCCAGGCTATGTTTTTGTCGCGTTTGAATGAAATGAGCGGAGGCTGCGAAAAGATAGTACTTGTCTCTGAATCGTTTTGAAGTAGTTTCAAGTTTTTAAGAAGGATGGATTTAACTGAGTGGTTGTGAGGGTGAAACGGGAGAGTGAATGGAATGCGGTCGGAATTCTTTCTTTTGTGACGTTTGTAGTGCTGAATGTCGATCACTAAGCTGGGCGCGGTGGTTACCCGCTTAAACGACAGAATCAGGGTAACCGCGTTTATAGAAAATCTGGCACATAGACTCTGATTTCTGGTGGAAATCAGAGTCATTACTACATAAACGACGAAGTCTTAGAAACTGAGAAAAAGGAATGGAATTCTTAACGTGAGATGGATGCGAAGACGAATACAACAAGTAATTATGCGAGTCTGTTGGTTTTTAATCCACACTAGTGCATAAACCGTTTGTTTCAACTGAAACTTTGAGGTCTTTATAAACGTAACGGTGGCCAATTTACCATTTCAATATGGTGTTTATAGACCGACTATAAATATTATTTTGACCTCGAAAATAAGGTAGGAAAACAATATCAGTGATTCTTAGAATGGCTTAAGCGTCATCATCCTCGGAGACCCAGGGGCTGTGAGTCGATTTCAAGTTACGGCTGAAGAGCCCCTGGGGACATTGTCTTGCAAGACTAGTTCCAAGCGATCGCAGTCGTTCTGGCATCTGATTAGTGCCAGAAAATCTTTGTGTTTTTCTGCCCAAGCAGAGTGAAGTGTGCTTTCGTGTGTTTTACACGGAGACAGACAAGAAGCTCGGTTGCTCGCCATGTTTGCTTGGGCCGTGCGACGGAGCTCTGCTCGAGGTGAAAAGTTTCAGTCTCACCGAGCACACAATGTAAGAGAAATCGATCGATGAGATTGTCCGCAAAATTCTTACCGGAAATTATACTGAATACTTTCGCAGGTATCACAAGAGAACGTGTTTGAAAGTTTGCGAGGTTCGTATAAAACATAATGGTTGCAGGCGTTAATATGTCGCTTTAAGCGTTAAACGAGATGAAAGCTGAAATTGTTCTAGATAAA